AACAGCCAAAAGCCAACATAAATGACACTTTTTTAATGCCATCAAATGGGATCAGATCAAAAAAGCAAAAAAATAAGAAAAATTACAATCGAACAAATTGAATTATTAAAGTCAGTTATAAGCGACCAGTAGACCAGCACCCTCCTCTCCACTTTCTATATATGCAACTGTATAAGTAATTAGTGGCGACTATGAAAAAATCTATATGTATGTATATATATATATATACGCATGCTTCATTATGCACACTATGATGTTAACGCTTAATTTTTATATATTTAATTATTAATGTATTCTCACGTACGATCAGTCAGTGCTGATAAGTAACAAATCCATGTGGAGTTTTTTTCAATGAGAAGAGAAAGAGAAACCACCAAAAACAAATGGAGAACATAATAATGTTAATCACATTGGACATGTATGTTCTTTAAGAGATTATAGATCGCGTTGCATCAAATTTGTTTTTTATTTTTCTAAAGAATCCCTAAAAAAAAAATATATAACAAGAGAATCAACGCAATATATATGCGTTTTTTTTTTTTTCTTCTCTCTTTTCCTTCCATTCATTTATAACAATCATTTTGGCATTTTACGCTAAAAGAATATAAATACATGATCGTAAGAGCAAAAACTTATCGTATCGTAAAAAATAGATAGATCCTTTCTTCCCACCCAAAATTATATCATATATCGGATAGTTTGACTCTTTGCGACCTACTAATCTTCGGGGTGGGTTCTCGTTTAAGTCTATTCCTAATTTTCGTTTAACTGACAGATGATATTCGGATATAAAATATTGTACACGAAAATATGAAAATGAAGAGGAAAAACCCTAAAGATTTCGCCATGTGATAAATAGATAACGCTTTACTTGTGCGAAACGTGTTACCGTTTTCATCTGTCAGATTGTTTTACAATAAAAAATAAAATTTTACCAGGTATTAAAATCATTGAATTCACTATCTACGCATGTGTAAAGAATATCAATTAGTTTGAGGTAAAGAATACAAAAAGCAACATAAATAAAAACATACATATATAGATACATACATACATATATATACATATATATGTTACATATGTTACATACAATAAATGTATGCATCTAGACGAGATAGATGGATACTAGAGTGTGGCATATACAAAGCAAACACATGCGCACATAACTAAACGAAATTAAAGATCACAGAGATAAGAGCATGAGATTGTATGTTTGAACAGTTTGCAGAAGGAGAAAGATATTTATTCAACTTTTGATAATATTTATATAATATTTATTAAGCCCAGAAAAGAAAGAAGAAAGTAAGTCAAGTTAAAAGCTAAGCTAAAAGAGATATACACGCCATCAAGTCTTGCATGTTGAATCTATGTCTAGCTTTGCATTATTTGTCGGTGTTGTGTTAATGCAATCGTTTTCACTTGAAACTGTTTTAATGAATCTAAGGGAGATATATACGTTCTTTCGATAGCATCTCATATTTTTTTTTTTTTTTTTTTTTTTTTTTTTTTTTTTTTCTAAACATAATCAATCACACAGGCAAGGCCACAGCTTAGTGTGTGTGTTTGCGTGTGTTTGTGTGTGTGTGTCGTCAATCGATAAGTGTTCTGCCCTCGCTAACTCAGCACTCAGCATTCGCTATACACGACGGCCAAGGAAAATTCCGTGCACATGGATTTACAAGTCGCGATTCTTACCTACAGGGACACCACTTAAGCAGATGATTTTCAATTTTGATATTTTTTCATCCTAAACCTAAATCTAAACCTATCTGTTGCTGTTGTGGTGGGCGCAACAGTTTGTTTAACAGATTAGGTAAAACTTTGTCTATTTCGGTTAAAGTTCTTAGCTATTCTGTGTAAGCTCCGCGTAACGCATCGAATTGGATCGGTTTCATGCTTGATAACTTTGTAATATATGTTCCGATTCCGATCAATTTTTGCTTTCATGCTAATTTTTAACCTTTCAAAAGCAATTAGAGGAACAGAGGGACAGAGTGGAAAATGCCTGAACCGAACTGAATGTTTACGCTCAAATTTCTGGCAAATATTTCTCCATATTATTAATGTATGTATGTATATATAAGTAAACTTAGAAGATTACACGATCGTTCGTTGGCAGGTATTTGCGGTATGAAGAGAAAATTTGTATAAAATTACAGCATGAAAAATGTTGAACAAAAAAAAAAGAAGAAGAAGAACAAGAAGAAAAATGTTATCAATCCCCTTCCTGTTAGCATAAATTCTATGCAAGATGTCTACTGCGATTCGTTATTGCTCTTACATCTAGAAAAGCTGAAATAAGCAGGTGTTACATGCTCATGCGAAATGAAAATATCAAACAAAGATTCTTTACTTCTACAAAATTGTAAACAGGTAAAAAGAAATAAAAAAAAAAAAAAAAGTAATGCGTACAATAGCAAGAGAAGATGTGCAAATGCATATTAGTAATATTATAGCAACATAATAAACATAAAAAATTATTGACAAAAATGATGATAGTGTAAGTAAGATATATAGTAGTAAATAAGAATACGGTCAGAGTCCATGCAACACTGTTACGGTTACTCTTGTTGTTAACCTTTGAAAGGTTCCTTTTGAAAATATTTTCAGTTTTATTATATGACGAACATATGCTCGCTTTCAATATTCTTCTCTATTGCAATATTAGACATCTTTTTTCCATTCTTTTCATTCTTTCAAATCATATACAAAGTGAGAGCAGAAAAAAAAAAAAATGTGTTTTTTTTTTTTTTTGCTTCAGCCAAACAAGTCAAATAAATATTTTTTTGCAGTGATGTTTAGCATGACTAAGTGAATATCATGTTAAACAGGGACGAATGTACATGTATGTATGTACATATGTGCCGTAGCATAAAAAAAAAAAAAAAAAAAATTTGTAACATTCGATTTGAAAAAATCGATAACTACTTTAACTTTAAATAGAGAGAAAGAGGGAAAGAAAAAGATGATCGTAATGATGCTTTTTGCTCATAATGACGATTCGATTTCAGATGTTGATGCTCAACCATTTCCGCTTTTAACCTTTTTTCTTTTTTTTTTCTTTTTTGTTTCTTTTTTATTTACAGATCTGCGTATGTTGATTACGCTGAAACTAACATTTAAAAAAATGAAAAATCAACTAACTTTAGCAAAGAGAAAAAGAAAAACGAAATAAAATAAAATGTTGCTTTCATAGGTGGTGGACGCGAACGTATCTACTACTTTTATGAATACGATTGAATGTACGAGCATATACCTAAATAATGTAAACATGTACGAGTGCGTATGTGTGATTATATAGGCAGGCAATATATGACGTAGAAGCATTCACACTGTCTGTGTATGTTTTTCTTGTTTCTCGATAAACGCTTTTGCGCAAAGTTAATGTTAAACTTTTCTTGTCGTTGACGTCTTTGTCTTCTACGAGTTAATTAAAATAATTGCCAACGAATGCAGTTTAATTTTATTGCGAACCCCCCGTTCCTCCACCACACTGTCTATGCTCCTCGCCCCCATCAAAAACCAAACCAAATAAGTGAACAAGTAAATAAATAAAGGAAAAATAAATAAATAAAAGAAAGAAAAAAAAAATAAGTAAAACAAGTAAGAAAATGATATTCAGCTATGGCCGAATTTTCTCTCTCCACTTTCGATATTCGATTATATTGAATGGCCGTAGCTACTAAGTCTTTTCATATTCTTGTACATGAATTCAATGATGATCGCCTATAGACTGTAAATGCACAGTTGTATCAGTCTATCCGCTGCATATTTATAATTAACGAGAGATCTTCTGAATTTAGGTCGCATTATGAGTGTGCGCTTTGACCGATTCGCAAGAATTTCTATCGTTTCTTTTTTTCTATTTTCTTTCTTGTCATATTGGAAGACAATATCTTCCTACCTAGACGGACAGACGGACATGCTTTAATGAATTCAGAGTTCGATACTGATCAAGTACACTATATAGATGGTCTCGAATACGTTTAGCCATTAATACATGTTACAAATACGTTGATAAAATGAATATATTTTTATTCCGTCTATGCTGCTGGATATAAAAGATCAAAGTTATATACAATTAATAAATAATGTTGGCAGATATTTTATTATATTATTGTTCATATGTAGAAGAAGGGGAAGAAGAAGACATTGAAAGAAACAATTTTGAAAAAAAGCAACATTTCAAAATGCATAGTCCACCTAATAAAGTAAATATCAAAAATGCAGAAATGCTAAAGCCATTCATTTGAGAACAAATCTTTAAAGTTCGTCTTCTGAGGTAAGTTAATAAATAAGTTAATATACAAAATATATACGAGATTTGTAAAAAACTTTTGACATCCGGAGCTCGTCAAGATTGCAATTCATATCCATAAATTCGTACCCATTTACCTTGCGACTGTTATTGACGCATTGAGTACATTCCGGTTCATCGATTTATCAATGTCTGATGCCGGATGGATAAGCTAGCTAGTTCAGGAGAAAAGGGGCATTTCAAATTATATTCACACACACACACGATTACACCAAAGGCATACGCGGCCTATAACCCTTCTGCATTTACTTACTGCACGGGTTGATCTTACACTGTGGACTTACTCTGCCCTACCTATGATCACTATCGATCCATAATTGGATCGATATGAAGAACCTCTCTGCTATGGAATGATTGAATATATCATAAAACAATGAAGAAATCGACTGATTAAAAGAAGGTTTGGTGCGAGATGTCTTCATTCGAACACTATTCCATTTTCTCACAATCCTACAGATGGTATAAAAAAATAATTCATATATTTTTAAGTCGTGGATACGAGTTTCATAAAAAAAGTTTCAATCCAATTTAAAGGTAATGGCGAATGCGTACTCATTTCGACGTTAACAATGTTATGTGTTTCTTCTTCTTTTACATAGGATTTATTGTTTCGTAAGAGATTTCGTTTTTTTTTTTTTTTTTTTTTTTTTTTAATTGTTTAGTTCTGATTTCTTTTGAATCTTGTCAGGCTTTACTCGTTGATGGAAGGAGATATTTGCAATTATATTAATATATGCACGTTGCTTATCACGTCACCCAGCCGACACGAACAAACGTTTACAAAAAATTTCGAATTCAGTTCACAAAAAATAAAAGTTTTGTTTGAGTTTTTTTTTTTAACTTTTTATTTATTTTTTTTTTTTGAGAAAAGAAACTGTGTTGGCAGCCGTAAAAAATGTCATAATTCAAACTGCATTAATAGTAGCAATAAAATAAAAAATTTATGGGATTTTGTTTTTTTTTTTTTTGTTTGTTTGTTTTGTTACTTATATATGTGTCCGTATATACATACATATACATACATATACATACATACAAACATATACATGTTTGTTCTGAAAACTTATATTAAAAGAGACCGGAATGTCAAATGGCTCGAATTATTGGGCATGGGACTAGTTTGAGTATGGGCAGTGAACTTGAAGTGAAAAGCACATAAACGTCTTTACTCAATCAAATTACGATAAAAAATAATTGAATGGCTAAGAGTATGTAATTTTCTTTTGTGTGTGTATAGGTTTTTTCGATATGCATAATTTTTCAAATTATTGCTCTATGATTAAAGGCTAATCTGCCCATTCCAATACATTTTGAACTTTAACTAATAAAAACGCTTTAGTAGTAGGTCATGGCCCAACGTTAAAGAGTCTTGAAAATCTAATAAAGCGTTTTATGGGAAGTGGTCGAAAAAGTACTTCAATCCGATCATTTTTCAATAGCGTTCGTCTTTGGATGAAAGCTCGCTAGTCTACCGAATTTCATCAATATATGTTAAAAATGGCGGACGGTAGGATGAACACAAGAAAACAAGACAAAAGCACGGACGGATAAGCGTAAACGGATTCAGAAAGTGATTCTTATCTCCGATCTTAAAGTGATTGCATCTTTTTATAGCCCCATTTTGTCAACACGTCTGCAACTTTCAGAAGGTAGCTTTAGAACACAAACCCATATGTATATCGTGCATTAACATCAAATTTTCAATCGATGTAAGCATGTCCGTCTGTCCATCCTGCATATAGATCACTTTTAAAAACGAGCCAGTTTCGTGGAAAAAGATGCTTCTTTAGTACAACGTTTACCACTTAATCCGTCCGATGAGTTACGATCTTTCTAATTACAGGATTTAGATTTCAACGCAGAAGAAAGCTGCTTAAATCTTTTTTTTTTTCACCATTTTTTTTCTAATACTAATATTTATAATCGAACTGATTTAATACAAAGTATACAACTTTAGAAAGAAGCAAGAAAGGAACTGTCGTATCGTAAACGTTGGACAATAACCGGTTGTTTTTTTTTTTTTTTTTTTTTTTAAAAAATACCTGGTTAAATATTGAAAATATATATTAAAAAAAAAACAAAAAAAAAAAAAACGAAAAAAAAATGTATTTAATTAATTTTTATGTACTCTCCGTACAAACAATATATCAAATGTTTAATATGCGGCATAGTTATTTTAATGTACGATGGTAACGATAACTTACTTGCAATATGAAACACCATTTGCTTGCGTTATACACGTTCCACCGTGTTCACAGGTCTTCGTTAGACATGATTTACCTAAAAGAAGAAAATAATAATAATAATTTATTTATACAAAAAACAAAATAAATAACTAAATAAATAAATAAATAAATAAGTAAACAAATACACACACAAGTCAAACTTTTCACGTATATACATATTAGGTGATCCAAAAAACTAACAACGATAACATTAATGACACCCGGACGTGAAAATTAACAAACGAGTAGGACATTGAACAAGCAAAACTAATAAAGCGATTCTCTAAGAGTTTTTTTTTTTTTTGACTGAAAACACTTGGCTTTAGTTGGTTAGAAAATGAAGAGAGTCTTGAACAGTCTATAAATTGCCAGAATAAAATAGAATAACCAAGTAACAGATTTTGCTAGGAAGCTACTATGTATCTGCCGTATTTGCCGTTACTCTCTTTCGAATATTTCGATCAGCTTAACTTGTAAGCATCATCTCAACCATAATTCGCTTGGCAAGAGGAGGACGATAAAGATACAAGTAAAGCTCAGGTAGAGCAAGAAAAATTGCTTTCAAAATAAATGCAATCAGCAATGAGAAGAAAGATCGCATAACATACGCGTAATCAAGTATGAACCGATCAAGCAACCGATCTACAAGTTAAGCATTCCCTTTATAATAGATCATCATCCAGTTCATTACAAAGTTAAGTTAAGTAATTATTGAATGAAAGTCTCCATTCCATTAAATTGAAAAGAAAAGTGATTTAGTCAACATAAGCTCCATCACTGGTTGTCATCTTTCGAGCAATATGCGTCTACACGATGTAAGTCGAAACTTTGTTTTTACTGCGAAACGCTCATCTGACATGTTTTGTAGAAAGCAACGCAATACTCAGGAAACGCATGACTCATCGGTGCAAACAAGTAGTGTTCAAGACGAAGTCAAATCCGAGCGCTTAAAAAGCGTTGCGAATCGATTTCTTCGTATAAATGGATGGATAATAAGAAGTATACTTGCATTGCGAAAGATTCAAATTGGTCATATGTGCTTTGTGGTGTTTAGTATTTAAAATCGTTTGATTCATAATAATCCCTCCCTTTAGACAATATCTGTATCCTGCGAAAAGAATTTTATATTAGATTGGATATGCATGGTTGGTGCGTCTATGCATCCAAAAATGCTGGTTGCGATCACTATATTCACAACAATTTGTAACAAAATGTCATCGTACGTCATGTCAATATACTAAGCACTGTATAGGAGGATCATCGCTTTCTCAATTCGCTCAATTCGCTCAATGCTTGGTTGTTGATTGCAAATTGATGCACAGCTAAGGGTACCTAACGACCGAAACTGCAAAATCGCCAACGTGTCTTAGGACAATTGCAGCACTCTCTGCAAAGGAAAGAACAGATGAAGTGCCGAAGGCAAACAGATAACAAATGATTAGGCAATGACTATGTTGAAGCATCGTCGTAAGCAGTACTCAAGGAGGGTCAAGAATTTGAAAAGTACTGTTTACTTTCTCTATTCACAAATGACGTTTTAAGAAAAGCAGAGCTTTAGACGCTTTGCGGTAAAGTTCAAGGAAATAGTCTCAGGCAACGGCATGATATTTGGAAAACCAATAGTTTCGTAATGATAAACAGTTGTGTTTATTAGTTAATGAAAGACAACGCTTCACCATCTTTTTAGCTATGTATGAAGCAACCTTTGCACCTATACAAATATAAGTAGTATATGTGAGTGTGTCTTAATAATGCATGTGAAGTTACCAATTATAAAAATTATTTTATTGGTAACGTTAAGTAATAATTCCTATTCATTTTCTTCTTGTTTGTTTGTTTTTTTTTTTTTTTAGTTTGTTTAGCCAATTTTCTTTATTAGTCAGCAACTAGTGTGGATAATAACTGATTAAGCACCGTTTTTAATTTTTCTTTTTATTCATTCGTACTTTAAACGAAAGGGTACATATCCCATGCTTCTGCACAATATGCAATATTTGCATTCGTATATGTAAACATTGGCAAATACAATTGAATTAGTCGTGCACACAATTCCATATACATATATGATATTTATCAATTAATTAATGCAAAACAATTAATAATAAAATGCCGCCTTGCCTGCATGTAAGAGAGAGATTGCATTTCATATTATAATTAACAGTTATTAGCATTATAGTGGTGTGTTGTCATTTAAAAAAAAAAAAAAAAAAAAAAATAATAATAATAATAATAATACATCAATACGAAAATAAAAAGCATAACAATAATAGCAACAACAACAACAATATTGTATGTGTCTCCTTATGTATTTCACCATTAAAATTTGCACAGATTTATTGTCATCATGAATTAATGAATGAGAGAATTGGTTAGCGTGCACCCAAAACCGACATCAGTCAGCAATGACTCCAAATCTACCGCTCCACCGAATGAATGCTAACCTCATCTCAGACTATACAAGAAATTATTACTATTATTTTTATTATGATTATAAGCAAAAAAAAAAAAATAAAAATAAATAAATTAAGAAAAAACAAAAAGTTGACGACACATCACAGCAAGGTGTGTGTAACTGCATAAATGAGTAAAACAGAAAAAAAATAGCAACAAAAAGAAGAAGAAGCAGAAAAAAACCAGCAATAATCAAGATTTATTAGGTAAGAATTTCAATTGAATTATATGACAAAGCATGTGTGCTTGCTTGTAAAGGTATTAAAAATTATGGTGCATATGGGAAACGTTCATAATAGTTTCGTTAATCATAGTTATCGTCTCTATCATCATCATCATCATCATCATCATCATCGTCATCATCTTTGTCATCATGATCGTTATTGAGCAGCATGCAGCACAAATTTTTTTTTTTTTTTTCTAAAGTATTATAACCAAAATCCAAAACAAACGCTTAAAAAACTCAAAGTGCAACAATTTTATGAAAAATTATATGAAAATTTTGAATATACGTTTACGTGTACAATATATACAAAAACTACATAAGCAATAAATGTGAGAGAATTTTTTCTTCTTTTTTTTTTTTTTTTTTTTGTTTTTTGAAGCTTGATTATGAAAATGTTTCCTACAAGTCATTATTAATTTCACATTAAGTCTTAACAAAAAACAAAAAAAAAGAAGAAAAGTCGAAGAAAAAGTAAAGAACAAATGTAAGATAAGATATCAACCACTCTTAGGTGTATTTTATTCGCATGTTATTGATGCTTGTATGTATGGCTATATGTAAACATATATGTATATATAACAGCACAAATCACACCTTATAAAGCATCATCATCATCATCATCAGACAACTTCAAATGAATTGGTGAAATTTTTGCGCCTTATTTACCTTTTAATTTATGACCGTGTACACAGCAACAAACGAACTTACTTACTGACTGCTCTTACTTACTGACTTGGTGGGCTAATTGGCTAGCTCTTCAATTTAATAGCTTGCTACCATCTCTCTTGCCTTAACTTGGAAATTAAATTTCTTTTCATGCTTTACTTTGCTTACCTCAATGCTTTTTTACTTTATATATAAACTTTCATAAACAACACGATTTTCATGATGTGTAGGTAAATAGTTTCAGTTGCTTTACATATCTCATGAAATTTATGTGGAAGCAAGTTTGTGAAAAAAAAAAACATTTTAAATAAAAAAATATTTAATCATAAAAAGTTCGATAAATGCTAAAAAAGTGAAACTCTTGACTCCGGTAGATAATAATTTCAATCACACATACATCCTTGTCACAGTGTATTAATCGAATTGAAGAACAAGTTCAAGTAATTAAGTTTATCATTTGGTTTGTTACCTCTGTCTCTCTCTCTCTCTCTCTCTTTCTCTCTCGCTCTCGAATATATACCCATCTAGTCAGTTAATTAGATATATGAATGACTTTTCGAATTTTTTTCGAAAAAGACGCCCTTACGTAATTTGACCAATGAAAAATTGTTCACAATTATCAGGAAAGACGTGAAACGTTTAGTGGACGTTTGCCAACTGTTCAAAATAGAGCGAATATCTCTTCAGCCATTCTATCGTATCTCACGTTTTCACACTCCGTGTCGATAATCGAACAACGTGAAATTAAACCTTCACGGCTGTGTATCCACATAAAATACCTAAATACATATCGTATCCTGCATATATATGTGAAATCATGCATATACACGCTGCACGCCATATTAAATTGCTCTTGCTTATAGTTTAATTGCTAATTGTAGGCGGGTCCAGAAAATGATTTCCCTATTATTATGTTTTGACTTCCATCTCTATGGAAGTAGCAAGAGAGAGAGAGAGAGAGAGAGAGTCTGAGACCAAACTTGTTTCTCAAAACACACGCAATTCGCAGACAGACAGACACATTGATAGATTCTTTCTTTTGCGCTGATCAAGAACATTCAGATGCATCTCAAATATTTACTAAATTTATTACATCTTTTCGGTGCTTCTAAAACACTGTTTTGACCTTTAAAGTTTGGTAAGATTCATGCCTCACGAGTAGGTTACGCAATCTGTTTCAGTTTCTTCTCTCAGTTCTCTCTCTCTCTCTCTCTCTCTCTCTCTCTCTCTCTTTCTCTTTCTCTCTTACTCTCTATCTCTCTTCTCAACAAACCAATTTCAAAACCCGATGATCACGAGTAGCAAATTTTAACGAATCTTCCTTGACTTGACTTAGCAGAATGGATTTTAAAAATTTTCAATGACTTGTTTTCCACATTCATGTCGTTAATTGCAAGTTTTAAAAACGCTCAAAAACATGTCAATACGTTAAGCGAAATATCGCCAGTTATATTTACGATATACTATCCGCTCTTGATTAGTACGAGTTTAAATGGCATAAGCTATATCTGCCCTATTATTATTTCATGGTATATTTATCTCTAGCAACCTTGAAAGTTGTCCTGGGACTAAAGTTTTACCATTTTTATTCTATAATTATCTAGGACCTTTAGTAAGAAGCAATCTAACGCTCGGCTTTAATCTTAATAGGCAATATGCAATCAAAATTCCTCCCCTCAGAGTTGTATATATTTTTTTAAATATTTCTATAC